GTCAACGTCGTAAGTGCCGTCAGAGCTTCGTCCAGGAGCTCATGTGCTACTTCGACGTTTGTTTCAACTTTCTCTAGAGTATCCGACGGTATTTGTACGTTTGCGTCTGGTACCGGTATATTCATCTAATGCGCTTTCGAGTCTTTCTCTCTCTAGGTGGANTTTCAACGATGTAGCTTCGTTGCAGTTCACTGGCTGATGCCCACTCTTTCCACAGTAGAAGCAGAGATTCTGTCGAAGTTTGCGGCGCTGAGTCTCATACGGGGTGCTGGATATCTCTTGCGATGTATCGCGAATGGTACACTGCTTCATCTGGCGTGTGACTCTGAGCTCTCCTCTGATATACTCTTTAGCTATCAGCAGTAATGTCAGCGTGTTCCACGACCCTTCAGCTTCGTTCTTCGTCTTCTGCCGGATGACGTGTCTTTGTACTTCTGGCGAAAATTTGTTGATCAATTGTCTTTGCAGAAACACATTGTCAACATTTTCGCCTTTGATTTTAAGCTGTGATACGATAGACTGCAGTTCTTCGCACAGCGCTTCTTGGTCCTCTAGACGGGTTGTATGGGCGCGCGCGAATTGAAGATTGTGAAGGAGCCTTTCTATCAGGGCTTCTTTGTCGTCATATTTGTTTTTGAGGTATGCGACCACCAAAGGATATGCCGCTCCTGATACTTCGAAGTGCTTCACAGATTCTATAACCCTTCCTTGTAGTGAGTCCAAAAGGTAGTTCAGTTGGTAGATATCATCAATGTTCTTTGAGTCGACACTGTGCTCGAAGCTCTTCCAGAACGTTTTCCACTCCCAAATTTCACCACTAAATTTGGGAACTGGTATCGGTGCTAGTTTCATGTTTGAGATGCATGAGGTATCAGGCGTTTCCGAGGAATGGGTCACTTCCAAAGACCCCAATTCCTGCTGAAGGACTGTCAACGTCGTAAGTGCCGTCAGAGCTTCGTCCAGGAGCTCATGTGCTGCTTTGACGTTTGTTTCAACTTTCTCTAGAGTATCCGACGGTATCTGCACTTTTGCCTTCACATTGTCGGCTGTACTGGTATATTTATCTAATGCGCTTTCGAGTCTTTC